GGGCTGGCTGGCATGTGGTGCTGGGGATTGAACCGCGTTCCCTGTGCTTTGCTAAGCTTGCTCTAAGTAGGTGCTTTAGACCACTGAGCCATCTCACCAGCCCCAATAATGCCTTCTTTCAGAGAAAGCGGGAGAAAATCTACACCACAGTCATCTTTATCAAACTCAACATGGGGAGATTTTTCAACTGATATAAGTGCTTTTCTTCTAATTTTTTTTCACTATCTTTTAAAATAGTTGATACAGAACATTTTATGAATTGATACATAATTGTACATATCTAAGGAGTTATATTGTATACACGTATACAGTGATTAATGATCAAGTCAAGGTAGTTAGCATACCCATTACCACAAACATATCATTTCTTTGTAAACACAAATTATTTTAATAATTAATGAGCCCTTCCGCCACAACAACCATCGAAGAATAGTAGCCATGGCCCTCCATTATCCCATGGCCATGGGCCTCAACGAGGGCCACAAGGTGACTAAGAATGTCAGCAAACCGAGGCACAGCCACCATCATGGATGTCTCACCAAACACACCAAGTTTGTTTGGGACATGATCCAGGAGGTATGCAGCCTCGCCCCCTACAAGCAGTGTGCCATGGAGCCACTCAAGGTCTGCAAGGACAAGCGTGTCGTCATGTTCATCAAGAAGAGTGGAAATGGAACGTATATCCGCGCCAAGAGGAAACATGAGGAGCTGAGCAATATGCTGGCTGCCAAGAAGGACTGAGCCCCTCTGAAATAAAGCTTTGCAGGAAAAAAAAAAGAAAAAATTAATGAGTGGAGCACAACTTATATAAAACTTCTACTTCCACAAATATCATCTAGCATTGTTAATCCTCATAAGATGAATAGTATAAAATAAAAGTAGGTCTCTGGTAAAGATAGAGCAGGAAATGGAGTCACAATCATCAGCTAAAATAAAAATTTTTGCTATCCATAGATCACAGCTATCTTCTTTAGCTCCAGTAATTTTAAGATGGCATAAGCTATACATTTTTCTAAGCAACAGCTCAGCAACACAGCAAATTAGTATACAAGGGGCATAAATATGCTTAGTAAAAACATTCTTTTAGGTTGAAAATACACGACTATGAAGAATGGTGTCTTGCTGGTAACCCTTTGCACTCATTGGTGGTGCTGTTCTCTCTTTCCCCGACCCGTGGGCAGAGAATTCAGTTATTCATTTGTTCTTTGGGCTTTCAGTTTGCTTTGATCATCCCTCACACCTCACTCCTTGTCCCGCTTCCATTTATCCTACGAGCCTTGGCCAGATCCCATTTTTCTGTGATCCCTTCCCTAATAATCCTCCTCTAATATCTATTGTGCTTATTTTAGCATGTATGGAGGAAGTGAGAGGAAAACAGGTCATTCTGTTATTCAAGTGAGCTTTTAGTTAAAGGTTATATATTTTATGTGTCACTAGATATGAATATCAAAACAATCTACTGACTTTTTTTTGTGTGTGAATCAGGGACTTACTGTGTAGTTCAGGGTGGGCTTGTACTCACTGTGTAGTCCAGGCTGATCTCATAGTGACCCTTCTGCCTCAGTCTGCTGAACACTGGAGTTGATAGCATTTTTAAAATCTTTCATAACTGTGGGCACAGAATGGTACGTGTTTGAATTGGGCATGGTGCCACATGCCTGTAAGCCTAGCACATGGAAGGCTAAGGCAGAAGGAATATAAATTCAAGGACAGCCTGGGCTACATAGTAAAACATTGACCAAAAAAAGAAATAGAAAAAAAAAAAAAGAGAGAGAGAGACTGATACTTGTTTGCATCTGGTTCCACAAATACTGTGTTTAGTTTCCAGTACCTAACTAGTCATGTTTGCCCCTTACCTTTCAGGAACATGGCTGCCGTTCCTCTAAATAATCTACAAGAACAACTTGAGCGCCACTCTGCCAGAAAACTTAATAATAAATCAAGTCTTTCAAAACCAAAACCTTGGTAAGTATATCTCAGAATCTTACCCCTCCCTTCAAGCACACTTACCCTAGTGTTTTTGCCACTTTCTGCAGCAGCTCTGGAAGTCCTCTTTACTGGGTGTCTTTAGTTGCCCTGTCATGACTGCCTCAGTGTCTTGAATTGACTCAAAATGCTTACCTTTCATAGTCATTTTGAGTCTTACACAGAGGCAGGTGTCTCATAGTGCCAGACCTGATGAATAAGGCAAATGGGTTTTTTGTTGTTGTTTTTGTTTCACAGAAATTGCCATAAATAGGGGCTGGGGAGATGGCTCAGTAGAATGAGCGCTTGCCTGGCAAGTGCAAGGGCCTGAGTTCAATCCCCAGTTCCGCCCAAAAAAGAAGAAAAAATAAATTGCCATAAACAGGTTTTTTTTTTTTTTTTTTTTAATTTTTTGGTGGTACCAGGGTTCGAACTCAGGACCTTGCACTTACCAGGCAAGTATTTATTCCACTGAGCTATCTCCCCAGCCCCATAAACAGTTTTAACTGATTCGAGAAATCAAGGTAGCCACAAAAAGACACAAATAAGAACTTGGAGAACTGCTTCAGAAAATGGCAAGAATGATAAATATTCAAAATGAGAGAGATAATTTTGAGGAGGATTAGTGACAAAGTGTCTTTTTTTTTTTTTAAACAGTACCAGGGATCAAACTAGGGACCTTGTGCATGCTAGGCAGGTGCTTATGCCACTAAGCTATCTCCCACCCTGACAAAGTATCTTTTACTATAATACATTTTTTTTACTTTTTTTTTTGTGGGGAGGGGGGACTTGAACTCAGGACCCTGTGCTTGCCAGGCAGGCGCTTATTCTACTGAGTTATCTCCCTGACCCCATTTTTTTACTTTTAATTTGAACATTCATCATATTTTTATTGGGGGCCTGCCCCTTAGCTCAGTTCTTTAAGTGGCTGCTTCAACAATGCCGTCAGGCTCAGGTTGCTGTGGTTCGATCCCCACAATTCAAGCCAGCCAGTCATGCCTTCAAGGCATTGGGAGCAAAAAAAAAAAAAAAAAATCATATTTTTATTGTACGTCATAATACTTGCTTAATAAATATTTGTTGACCAAATGAATAGTATCCTTCCCAAAAGATTATATAAGGGAAGCACAGCTTCCCAGTTTGTTCCTTCTCCTACAGATTATGCTCCAAACTCCTCATAATGCATAATAACACAGTAATTTGTATTAAATGCTATGCCTTTATCAGGTGGCACACACTGCTGTGGGGTGTTTAAACGACCACCACTGACTTTTGTTATTAAATCTAGCAGGTGCCAAACTGCCTCCTTTGCTTGTCCCTCAGATCTCAGCATAGCTAGCAGTTTGTAACTTTTCCCCTTAAAATTTTTATCGGAGGAGCAAAAAGTAGGCACGTTTTTTTTTTTTTTTTGCTCCGAATGCCCTCAGGGGTGGTTTGGCTGGCTGGGGTGTTGTGGGGATCGAACTACAGCAACCTGAGGCTGACAGCTTTTGTGGAAGCAGGCACTTAAAGAACTGAGCTATGGCCAGGCCCCCAGTAGGCACGTTTGAGTTGCCACGTTCTCATATGAGCTTCACTTCCTTCTGGAAGTGCTAAAGAAAGGACTGTTGGCCCGAGAAAGAAAGTATGAGGATGGCCTAGGTGTGCTCCAGACTGAGTGACTAACTAGCTCCAGGTGGGAAAGAGTGGAGCAGCCAAAACAGTTTGTGCTCATTGTAATATAAACAATGTAACATGTCATAGGAGTTAGTTAAGAAAAAAAATTAATTTTATCGAATGGATGGGTTTATGACTTCACCTAGCAGTACTTTCGAACCTTTTAGAGCATTCAGTGATACAGTTAATCTCGGTGCAACACTCGTGCCACATGTTTGCCACCACAGATCTAGTGGCTGTGGATTTGGCTCAGTTGTGCCTGTTTAGCACAGACAAGGCCCTGGGTTCAACCTGCAGCACCAGCAACAAATGAATCCATCTAACTCCAATGTTTCTTTATTTTGCAGTGGTTTTACTTTCAAAAAGAAAACATCTTCAGATAACGATGCCTCTGTAACTAGTGTGTCAGTAGCAAAAACTTCAGTGTTAAGTGATAAAGATGTGAATGTGTCAGAGGTCTTTTCCTTCACTGAGCCTCCTCCCCACACCCCAGATCAGCAGACAAGGGTGAATGGCTTCTTTACAAATGCTGCATCAGGGCAACAAGGCCAAAGAACTGGTTCAAAACCGTTACTTCCAAGTTTGTTGCTGACTCCACAGGAAACTTTACTTACTTCCCAAAACACATCAGTGGTAAAGAAACCCTACAGTGCTGTTCTCAAGAAACTGGAATTTAGTTCTTCCCCAGATTCTTTCTACACTATGAATGATTGGAATGATATGGAAGACTTTGATACCTCAGAAACTTCAAAAGTATTTGCTACACCACCTAAAAATCAAGTTATAAGAGTAAGCACTGCTCAGAAATCAAAAAAGGCCAAGAGGAATGTTTTCAAAGCACAGCCTCATAAAACAAGCACCGTAAAGGCAGATCTGACTCTGTCTGAAAGCCAGCCTATGGTAGACTTGACTAAGGATGAGAAAGATGGCTCAGAATGGTTAAAAAGTAGTGTGATTTGCATCGATGATGACTCTGCTCCCCAGGTGCTCACAAGTGGAGACACTCAGGAAAGTCAGTCTTTGAAAATGCATTTGGAAGATGAAAGAGGTAAAGACTCGTCATTTCCACATATTGAATATATTTTTTAATTTACAGGTAGGCATTGGAGACCGTAATAAATATCATATAACTTCTATCCTTCAGGGTCTTAGGATCTGTTGAAATGCTTATTGAATAATTCGTTGGCCACATTCTTGATGGTTCATGGTAGACTGCAAAGTGAGCCTGAGCTTTTCGGCATACATAATTCTTCAATGGCTTGCTGTCATAAGTAATATACAGATACAGATGAATGATATAATCATACCCTTAAAATACAGCCAGACATTGCTTCATGATGATGAGACGTTTAACAGAATGTGTCATTAGGCAGCTCAGTGATTGCTTGAACACCACAGAGCACACTTGCACAGACCTGGGACTGGGTCTGCCATGCCCCGAGGTTCTACGGCATAGCCTGTGCTGTTCTGAGCACCACGGACACCCACATCACAAAGGGAATGTTCCTGGAGCTACACGAACTAAGGACAGACACAGTAAAATGTGGCAGAAGGATAAAGTGGCGCACCTGTGAGCTGAGCCACACTGCAGGTGACGCTGCTGTGGGGGTGACAGAGTGGGAAGAGCCCACTCTGTAAACCGCTGTGTACTGAGACCACTTGGGACACAAACAGTATTTTCTTCCAGTGGTAAATTAAACTTAGCTCACTCTTACTTTTGACTCTTTTGTAATCACAGTTTAAAACACAAACATGCACATTAGCGTAGGCCTACACAGGGCCAGAGTCATCCCTATCTGTACATCTTGTCCCACTGGAAGGTCTTTGGAGCTGTCATCTCCTCTGCATTCTCCTAGAATTCCTTTCTTTTGTTTGTTTAAGACAGGATCTTGCTATGTTGTTCAGGCTAGCTTAGTTCACTAGTGAGCCCAGGTTGGCCTCAAGCTTGGAGATCCTCTTACCTCAGCATCTGGAGTGCTAGTATTACAGAGGTGCTTTACTACTCCTGGCTTGGAATACCTCTTAAAGGTAGAATATAGTACTTGCCTGAGGCTATTTCAGAGCAATTTTTCTTAAATAAACAGGAATACACCCTAAAATAATAAAAAGTATAGTCTAATACACAAAGCAGTAACATAGATAATTTATGTTCATCATACCAACTACTATGTATTGTACCTAACTACATCACCATAAACACATAAGTAATGAACACATTTCCTTATAATACCAGAGGGTTTTTTTATCTTAGAGCACCACTGTCCCATATGTGGCCTGTTGACTGTAACATGTAGTATGTGACTGTATTATAAATTATATTTAGGGCCGGGGAGATAGCTCAGTAGACTAAGCACCTACCTGGCAAGCTCAGGGTCCTGAGTTCAATCTCCTGGTACTGCAAAAAAAAAAAAAAAAGAAAAGAAAAATTATGTTTGAAATATTTTTTGGGGCAGGTGTTAGATATTATTTATGTCCAAATTTGATAAATGATTTTAGCCATATGTGTAAGTAACCAACAGTTGTAAATATGAGACAAACACTTTTTTTTTTTTTAAATGTATTCAGTACAGGGTCTACAGGGTCTCACTACATAGTTTAGACTCAGGATTGTCCTATTTTCAGCCTCCCAAACCCTGGGATTACAGGCGCACCACCATGCCCAGTCTTAATTGCTGGCTCAGTGCTCCCCGGGGGCAGAACCAGTGTGCCACGCTGGGGATTGAACCCCGGTCACCAGGCTCTGCCTAAGCAGGCGCTTAGTCTGCTGAGCTATCTGGCCAGCCAAGACAAGCACATTTTTATGAACATATGGAGTCTCACCCAGACTGGCCTAGACTACTATTTAACCCATCTTTCTTTAGCTCCCAAGAAGCTGGGATTATGAATGTACAACTACACACACCACGACTCCAATTTTTAAATACCTGAATTTCACTGAAGTTGCTGGATGGTGAGTTCCAGAAAGTGATTGATACTAAACAGAATTATAGCCTAAGGAATTTTGTTGCTGTTTAGAATTACAATCTAATGAATTTTGTCACTGTTTCTCAAGAGAATAGTTGATAAATAAACACTAGCCTCGAGAACACCAGCATGACATGTTGAGTCCAAGAGAGCTTTACATACTGTAACTACAGAGCCTCTAGTGAAGCGGAGATGGGTTATCTGTACAAGTAACAGTGTCCATGTTGTTAGAGGATCAAAGTGTCAGACTTATTTGCTGCATGTTATTCTTAAATAGAAAATACTATGAATGGGTTGTTTTTTTTATTTTTTTTATTTAACTGGAGACAGGCGTAAAAATCCCTAAGCAAATCTTCAGCCTCAATCCTGTGTCCACTGGACTTAATCCAGTTGACTCACTAATCCCTTAGGAGGAAGTCAGCCAACATTAGCGCACGAGAGAAGAGGACTCCTGGCAGCATGCTGTGACTGCCTGGCTTTCTCAGGGCACTCACTCCAAAGTGCTTGTGCCCTGTTCTTTCTGGCTTTTTAACTATTAAAATAACCAGCATTCATCTACTGCTTTACTTTAGGTAATAATGAAAAGCACAGTGAGGAAGATGTTGAACTACATTCAACTGAGAAAGCTATATACGTTGAGCTTAATGATGATGACATCGATTTTGTCCCACCTTCTCCAGAAGAAGAAAGTATTTCTGCCTCTTCTTCTTTGAAATGCTTTAGGTAAAATAACTAGTGGTGAACTGTTTCTGGGATATTTTAAGTGTTATATCTTAGTTACATAGTATCATTTCTACATATATGTGCTTTGTGCTTCTGTATAACTTATTTTGCATCTTAAAAATCCTATTTATATATTCTTGAAAAAATTAGTGTTCTAAAAACGTAAAATTTATTAGCTTAAGTACATGGGGCTACTAGTGAATTTTACGTAGTGGATTTTGACACAAGGAATACATTGTATTGCATTTCTAGACTCCTAGACTTGTAAAGCTAATTCATTGTTTGAGAAATGAATTAGTACATATATAGATATATTCTTTTTTTAGTACTACAGGTGTTGGCTAGTTTATTTGTTATTCACTGAATTTTAGCAAATTAGTGACAAGATTATTATTAATTGGTAGTTCCAGAAGAGAAATAGATATTCTGTCAGGCTCATCAATAATTTGAATTACTAGTTATTGTTGCCACCTCTCCCTAATCTAACTCACAGTCCAGTTTTGTGGTAGAATATATATTATACTATTTAATGACTATTTTGATGAAAGGCAGATCCCTATAGCATATCATCTCTAGGGATGGAAGGTGTTTTACATAATCTAGTTTCATTTCTCCTGGTTTGTGCTTTTAACATGTGTTGGAATATTTGAAGAGGTGGAAAGATTTAAGTATGGTTACTGTTTGGTAACAGAATTAAAAGTGATAAGAGCTCTCTCCTCTTCCTCTTTTCCTTCCTGACAAAGAAAAATACTTTACTGAGCAAAAGTTCATCTACATCTGCATTCTCGTTTAATGAGAAACAGCAGAGGCTAGGGAAGAACGCTCAGCTGAGAGACCTGACGACAGATGGATGAAGACCCAGTGCAGTGCTCCCTCCTGGGCCATCCTGTGTCTTTGTTAAATGCCTTGCTTTTTTCTTCTTTGTTGGTTAAAAAAGTGCATATGGCACAAATGACATTGTCACCACTTTATGTAGGATTTAAAATGAGAACAGAAATGTGTACTCCCACAATTCAGCCAACTGTTTTCTTTGTGTTTGACTTTGATCCTCTAAATGTGTGTTTGATTTTTGCATTGTTGTAATCAACATGTAACAATAATTTTATATTCTGCTTTTCTCTTAACATTATTGAAAAAATTTTCCAAATCACCCATATTTTTATTCCTTTTAATGACTATAATTTATTGTCGTAGCATAAGTAACTACCTAGATTTTTAGCAGTTAGACAATGGTTATTTACAAGATTGATTGATTGATTATATTTTACGTTGTACCCCATATATATATATAGAAATACAATTTTTTAAATTATATGTATAATATACATTTTAATGTTATTGTTTGTTTGTTTTCTTTTGTGGTACTGGGGATTTAACTCAGGACCTTGTGCTTGCCAGATAGGCACTTACACCACTGAGCTATATCCCCAGCCCCTTAACATTTTTGAATGGTCATTAACCTCTGAATTTCTGAGGTTGAATGTTAGACAACATGTAACAGAAGTGTCAGACGATATATAATATATATATATATATATATATATATATATATGTTTATATATATGTTTATCTCTGTTCCAGTACCTCTGTAGCTGACTCTTTTGGCTTGTGCCTAAATGTACCCCCAAAGCCTCATGCAGCCATAGGTGGAACTGTTTCGGAGGTGGTTGAGCCTAGAGGGAGTGATTGGTTCATGGTACAATGCTAAGGTTAAGGATGGTAGGGTTAAGGGTGAGTGATTACTAAATCAGTCCTAATTCCAATATCTTGGACACAGTATGAGGGGCAGAAAGAGGCTTGTCTTGTGTCTTACTTGCTTTGCTGCCTTCTACATACCATGAACTGTTTCTCCTCTGCAACACCCCTCTGCCATGCCACCTTGTCTTGGAGCCAAACAGTTGTGGGCTGAAACCTCTTCACACTGTGAGCCACATAAACCTTTCTTGCTTTAACTTTGGATGTCAGGTGTTTTGTCTCAACAAGGAGAAAAAAGTAACCAAGAAATGGCCATCAAAATCCATTATCTTCCAGTCCCAAATTTTGTCTTTAGCAATTTTTTCCCTAAAATGAAATATTGTCAGGTGTGGTGATTACACATCTATAATTCTAGCATTTAGAAGCGTGAGGCAGGATGAGTGGCACAGTTCAAGGCCAGTTTGTATTACAAAGCAAGACCAGAATCCCTCACCCCCCATTGAAAGACAGCTGTGGTCTTGCTCTGTTTCCCAGCTGGTTGTGGACTCCTGGGCACAAGTGATCCTCCTGCTTCCCACTCTCAAATAGTTGGCCGGCCTACTGGAACATGTCATTGTGTCAGCTCCAATTTTCAGATTTATCTTGGTTCATGCCTTTGCAATAATCTAGAGTTCTGCTGAGCCTCAAGCTACCCTAGAAAAGTATTGCTAAAAATACAACCATTTTCTTTGATGGTAACATGTTATTATTTAAAAAGCAGTATAAAAATAGTTATTGGGCCAGGGATATAGCTCCATGGTACAGAGCCAGCCTGGCAAGTATAAGATTATGAGTTAGATATCTTGATACCAAAAAAAAAGTTAGTCATCAATCTTGTGATTTAATTAGATAGAGAATTGCACTTCAAAATCCTGTGTTAAGAATGTATAGCTAAGGGCCGACCAAATAGCTCAGCAGATTAAAGCGCCTGCGTAGGCAAACAAAGCAGCCCAGGTTCGATTGCTGCCGTGCCATGCCAGCCTTGCCCCCGGGGTATGCTGAGATGGTGATTGAGGCTGGGCATGGTGATGCGCACCTGTAATACCATCTCTTGGGAGGCTGAACACAGGTGGATCACTACAAGTCCGATCTACATAGTGAGACCCTGTAGACCCTTACTAAAGAAATACAAAAACAACAACAACAAAAAACGTACAGCTTATTCTTGGATGTCAAGCAAATAGACATTCTTTCTTCCTGTCACTCTCCCCTATCAGTCACTGAAGGTTTGCTCAAGTTTGATCTCTTCAGCAAAGCTTCTCAAACCCCAAAATAGGTTCTCACTTTGAGTTTCCACAGTGCCCTCTTTAACACTCAGTATTAATTTGTGTATTTTTTTCTGTCTAATCAGAGTGATTATAGTTATACTTAATATATTTTATATAATCTGTATGTCAGTTGTCTAATAGATGCACAAATGTACATATATGCATATTCACATACCAGAAGTTCAAAGTACTTTATTTATTTATTTTTTATTTTTTTATGAGCAGAATATATTTATTGAGAGAAAGAAAGCTCCTGTCCCAAGAGAGGGGCAGGAGGGGGGGCCGGAGCGGGCAGTTCCCCCCGACAAAGTGCTTTAGAATCTCAGAAGAGAGATGTTGGTAATTGCTTGCTGAAAATAACAAAAGTAACATTCAGCCTGGGCCTGTGAAAACAGGTCTGATTGGGTACAAAGCTTTATGGAAGGTTTTCGGGTTGAAAAAAGATAACCCTTAAAACAGACAACACAGTATTATGAGGAATGTAAGTGGTATAGTATGGTTGGTGCCAAGTCTTGGTAAAAGGACACAATTGGCTTTAGAAGTTAAAAAGATCTCTTGGGATCAGAAAATGGTAAGACTCTGAGGCCCAGCTAAAGGGGCTTTACCATAGCATAGACTTGAAAACATACTTCTCTTATCTCCTACATATTGTCTGACTAGTTGTAGAAAAATATTTTTGGGGAAATTATCTATTTATTTGATATATTGTATGGCTTGTTTAACTTTTTTCTTTTTCTTTTTTTTAAGTACATTAAAAGATCTTGATGCCTCTGACCGAGAGGAGGATGTTCTTGGTACATCAAAGGACTTTTTGTCAAAACCAGAGAAAATGGCTACACGGGGGCCCAATCCAGAAATCAGTACTGACTGTGACGGTACAGAATGATTTCAAGTTTATCACGTGTTTAGATCTATCAGATATCTTAGATACTTGCTTTTGTAAACAAAATAAGATTGCATATTCATCCTGTGACCATGTAAAAGAAAATGGCCAGAAAATGCATTGTGTCCTTTGTTCTAATATCAATCATTTCCTGTTCAGTCATTAGCCAGCATTTACTTGAGCAACTGAAAAACTCAAGAATCACAAGGTTCATTCTGTTTTGAAAATGCAACCTGTTAGAAAATCCTTCTACATACTCAGCCAGAATTTGCCTCTCTGTAACTTGAACCCCCTAAAGTGTCTAGAAATTTATTTTGTTTTGTTTCCTTGAGGCTAAATATTAAGTCTTTAATTTTTATAAATACTGGTTTATAGACCTTTAGTCCTTGTAGTTCTCCCTTGTATACATTCAAGGGCCAGATATCCATTTAACATTTAATACTCTTTTGGCTATTTGTTTCCATTGTCTCTGATTACTTTTTTAAAAATATATTTTTTTAATTTTAATTTTTTTCTAATATATTTAGTGCAGAGTGTACAGGGTTTCACTATACAGCTGGGACTCCTAGTGATTCTTCCTGTTTTCCAGCCTCCCAAGTGCTCTCAACTACCATCTCAGTGTGCCCGGTAGTGGGGCCAGCAGGGCACACCTGGGATCAAACACCCGGCCCCTTCATAAGCAGGCACTTTAATCCGCTGAGGTATCTGGCTGGCCCTAAAGAATTATTT